CAATTCCCCAAAAGACAGACAAGCCCTATAAGTCTAAGAGATGGGGATGTGAGAGGCAAATTCAGGCAGAAACCTAAGTGCTAGCCCCAGGGAGGGTATGTAGAATAAGACCAAGAAATGTCATGATAATGCATTTGACCATCAAGCCCCAACACTGAAGTTGGATCTCTTCCCAAAACAAGTTGGCACTGCTCAATGAATGTGTTTTGCCAAAGATGATCATCTAAATGACCATTCTCCCACAGTCCATCCTAATGGAAATTAGTACAGAACAGTAACCATAAGCACATGTCCTCAATCAGAATCTCACATTTCCGTATGTTCTCCCTCATATGTGGACATTAGATCAAGGGCAAACACAACAAGGGGATCAGACTATGAGCACATGATAAAAGCGAGAGCACACAAGGAAGGGGTGAGGATAGGTAAGACACGTAAAAAACTAGCTAGCATTTGTTGCCCTTAACGCAAAGAAACCAAAGCAGATACCTTAAAGCAACTGAGGCCAATAGGAAAAGGGGAACAGGTACTAGAGAAAAGTTTAGATCAAAAAGAATTAACCTAGAAGGTAACACATACTCACAGGAAATCAATGTGAGTCAACGCCCTGTATAGCTATCCTTATCTCAACCAGCAAAAACCCTTGTTCCTTCCTATTATTGCTTATACTCTCTCTACAACAAAATTAGAAATAAGGGCAAAATAGTTTCTGCTGGGTATTGAGGGGGGAAGAGAGAGGGGGTGGAGTGGGTGGTAAGGGAGGGGGTGGGGCAGGGGGGAGAAATGAACCAAGCCTTGTATGCACATATGAATAATAAAAGAAAAATGAAAAAAAAAAAGAAAGAATCTCAGATTTCAAATTTAGGCTGTGTCATTTGGTAAGTGACTGATGTTGTGACAGTTGCTTAACCTCTCTAAGCCCCAATTTTGTTACTGTAAAATGGGATTTCTAATAGTACCTACTTCTTTGATCTGCAATGAAGACTAAGAGAGTCAAAACATATAAACTTTTTTTAAGCACCTAACAGGCACTCAGTAGCTGGAATCTGTTGATATAAATGGATGCATTAGTATCCATTAGTGATCCTTGGATCACTCCCATCCAAGGAAAAAAAGCAAACTTCAAATTTATTCCAACTTCATGTTGACTGCATAGGAATTTGGAAAGAAACCTGAAAGAAAATGTAAGATAGACATTCAGTATTCTCTTGGTGAAGCAGGGTATGACCTTAAAAAAAAACCTTCAAGAAGTCCTTTGGAAATTACTTCATGCTGATGAAACTTCTCTGGATGGACAAACAGCACATGAAATAAGCCACAGTGAAGGTTATTTATTAGAGTTCATATGGAAGCTATCATCCTGTGTCTTTTTACCAGCAAGAACTGATCAATAACTCAAAACCCCCAAACACACAGAACTACTACATCACTAGAATGACAAATGATGACACCATGGACATATAAAATGCAGTTAGCTGCCTGATGCCTGTCCTTGCAAAGATAGTTGGCACTTGTGTAAGGTCAACCAATATTCTCCCTTCATATGGCACCCTGTAGAAAAACCAACCTGGACTAGCACTCATAAATGACCACCATTCCCTATCTTCCTCTTTTTCACAGATGATGCCATTTTGTTAGTTGTAAGCATGTACAAGGCTACAGGTTATGAATGCGAGTATGTCTGCAGAATTAGGAGCAAGATTATTAAAAAGCACTGCATTGGCTACATAAATTGTCCTTGTTCTAACAAACAACAATCAGGCAGGTTAGAGTGGCTGAGGTTGTGAAACACCTGCCTTGCAATGGTAGTGCCAATGTTCTAACCAGAGTACTACTGAAAAGAAACAATGAACAAATTCTCCAAAAGCCATCACTTAAGTGTAGAATGTTGTTTCTTTTAACTAACCCTTTCAAATTCCAGTGAAACTTCTTCATGAATTTGAATGCTTGAAATATAAGTAATATGAATGGAATTTTCCAGAAATACAGTAACCAAAGGAAATTACAAAAGGTATACATATTTTGTTCATTCTTCTGAAATAACTCTGGTCTATAAATCTCTAATTCTTGCTCTTGAAAATAAGCTTTATCATTCTCATGGTCGTGTCTGACTGTAGTCCCAGCTGCATCAGGAGAAAAGACCAGATTATTAGTATTCTTCAGGAGGCCCTGAAACAAGGATGAATGGGTAAACATGAATGTGAGTGCCTGTGTGTCTGTGTGAGGACAATTATATGTGTACACATGTACATTTTTGAGTGCAGGTGCAGTTACCTACATTCATGTACATGTATATATGTCTGTGTGTGGCTTTGCATGCATGTGAATATGTGTGTATTTGTGTAAGCCTTTGTGTGTTTGTTGTCTGTATGTACATGTCTCTCTATGCATTCCTGATTTTTCCTACATACCACTGTGGAAATCAGGTGTGGATTGATTCACTCTGGTAGTGGTTTGTTTTCTTTCTGCTTTGAGGAAAGACATGGCTATATAGCCATGCTGGCAGTGAATTTGTGATCCTCCTGCCTCAGCCTCCCCAGTGTTGAAATTACAGGTGTGTACCATCACACCCAATTTAAGCTCCATTACCTTGCTTCTAAACTTGTAATTATCTGATAACTAAATCCATGCATTAGCTATATATCACAGTTGCCACAACTATCACAAGAAATATAGATATGCGGATTGATGGGTCTTCATATCTGATGACTTCCCAAGAAACAGATGCTAGGGTAATCCAGCAGGGAACACATGGGGAGACTGGGAAGGACCTGAGAGGCACAATGAAATCTGTCCAGTATCAGTTATCTGTCTTAAATGTAGCTCTGTGTCCTCAAAGTTGGGGTTCTGCACCCAGTCCTTCCCAAAGACAGTAGTGTGGAATGTACAGATGTGACTATGTCCAGTTTTTTTATGGAGTAGGCAGGGAGGAGGTTCAGCATCAAAGTGGACCTTGAGGAGGACTTGTCTCAGGAAGAGTCTCAGTTAAACGTATGTCCAGAAATGACCTCACTTCCTGGATGATGTTTCACATGAAATCCTGGTTGCCAGGTAACCTCATTCCTAACATTCCAAAGGAACTGTAGTAAGCTCACTGCTCTGGAGACTATAGAAAAAAGGATGTTCTCTTGCTGCCTCTGAACTTGTATAAGCTCAGACCCTATGAAAGCCCACAATGGAGGCCTCTTTCACATATAGAGACACTGGGTCAGCCCTCACCCAGGACATCTCCAGAGATTTTTCCAGAAGGCCACAAAGGTGATACAGAGCAGGCCAGGATAGGTGACAACAGGTCACCTTAACTACCCTAATACACAAAGAAAAGACTAGACCCTTTCCTGTGGGTTTCTGTGTGTTTGACTGTTTGAGTGTGTGTGTGTGTGTGTGTGTGTGGTGTGTGTCTGTGTAGCCAAATTCTTGATGTCTGTTTCCTTTATGCCAGTGAGCCTTTTCCAGTTTGTTACACTTATGGTTTAAACTGTTTTTCTTCACAACCCAGAGTGAAAATGAGGCAGCTGACAACTCAGATAAGTGGCAGAGCCTGGGGATCCTCAAGGCAGGCAGACTGGAGAAGTTGGTGGATTACTTGGTACTGTCCCTACTGTTCAAGGACCCCCTTTTTGTCCCCACCTTTCTGTGCACCTACTGATATTTCACAACCACAGAGCAGGTGCTGGACCTGCTGTTCACAACAAAAACCCCCCATCTCCAAGCACAAAAGAATCTCCACTTTTGACTGTGCTGAGCAATGCCTTATGCTGCTCTTCCCCCAGTTTGACATTGGAGAATGGGAGCTCAGAGGACTACCCACATAGGGTTTTGCCAGGACCCAGTAATACGAGCCATGAAAGCCCTTAGTCCAGGGCTAGCCTGAGGAATAAGCTGTTCAGGGTGTGGGTTCTTTGTGTGATTCCCTTTCCCTTTGAAGAAGCTCTCTGCCTTGGTTCTCACTTATTTGAGGAGTCAGGAAAAACATATTCTGGAGTTACTGAGGAAGACATACCCAGTGAAGTATCAGGGAAGGAGCACAGTGGTTGCTTTTTTTTGCACAGATACACATTAGGCATCAACTGTGTTCAGGAAAGGTATCTAGGGGTGTAGCATAATTCAGTAAAAGAACAGGCAAATCTCTGATATCCTTGGCTCCACTTCCTGGAGTATACAAGCAGCAATATCAGGTGTTGTAGTAGATACAGTAGATATAACACCTTTTTGGACTTCTCTAGGTATAGCTTCAACAAGAATGACAGACAAAAGGATCACTGGAAAAAGTGAGTGACCATTGGATAAAGAGGTTTGGGTACCTGTATCAAGAGGGGACATTTAGTGGCTAGGTTTGGATAAGAATGGGAAGATCATTGCTTCCCAAACACTTGTGATTCCAACAAGAAGGATGTGGTCTATGGCTTTGGCAGAACTAGACAAAAATAAAGGGAGCTATGGTTGGATTCTTGGGCATGAGTGCCCCAGGGTGGACCCCTGTGAAAATCTATCATCTTAAAGAGTCTATGCCTGTGAGGCTTCTCTACCATATGGCCCCTCAGGCCACAGATAAGGTACAATGGATATGCTCCTCAGTAGTTGGAACTACTTGGTTCCCAGGTGTCTAGTGAATGTTCAGAATGTTCAGAAGTCAGACTGCACCCATCAGGAAAATAGTGTCATGGTCAGATACACCCCACACACTAACTTATCAAGGTGAGGCAGCACAAAGCACTCATTGAGGGCTACCAGCTGTCAGTGAATGCCAGGCAGGTGAACAAACTCTAATGAGCTGACATTCCTAAGGGAAGGGGTACCAGAGACACACAGAACACAATTCTTCCCTCTCCAGGGAAGATCTCACAATAAGTTGGACTCTGGGCACTAGAGGTTCCCTACAACTCCTGCCTGTGTATCTTGCTTGCTTGTGCCTGGTCAGACAAAGAGCTTAGTTTGGGTTGTGCTGGCCTCTGGATAAACAGGGGAAAATGTAGGAACCTAGCACCAACAAGTCAACTATGGCAAGACAAGGAAATTGCCAACAAGGCCAGGCTTCTGATTCTGCTAACTGTCCATCTTCTTCCACGGTCATCTCCTCCATCCTGAACACCTGGTTGAACCAATACTTGGAGGACTTTTTTCAGCCCCCAGACTTTCCCTGCCTCAAGCTGCTGATAGATTATCTCCAGCTCAATATGCCAGGGTCAAATGAGGAGTGCCATGCTCAGCTTCTTCTGGTCCAGTGGGAACACCTGGAGTGCAGTGAGCCTGAAACTGAGAGTGAGCAGCCTGGGGCAAGAATATAGAGCACGTAAGATTGGGATGGTGCAAAGCCCCACAGTGTGGAACTTCTAAGCCTGATGATGAGCCTAGACAAAGGAATAACCTTTGACTAATATGGGAAGGTTTCCTATTTGGATTCAGGACTGGGGCTTCAGGCAGGCTGGGGCCATCTCTGACTTTAGAAAGACAGCCATGATCTACCATTTGATCCAGCAATACCACTCTTGGGGATATACCCAAAAGACTGTTACTCCAGAGGCACCTGCACATCCATGTTTATTGCAGCACTATTCACAATAGCCAAGTTATGGAAACAGCCAAGATGCCCCAGCACTGACAAATGGATTAAGAAAATGTGGTATCTATACACAATGGAATTTTATGCAGCCATGAAGAAGAACGAAATGTTATCATTCTCTGGTAAATGGATGGAATTGGAGAACATCATTCTGAGTGAGGTTAGCCTGGCCCAAAAGACCAAAAATTGCATGTTCTCCCTCATATGTGGACATTAGATCAAGGGCAAACACAACAAGGGATTGGACTATGAGCACATGATAAAAGTGAGAGCACACAAGGAAGGGGTGAGGATAGGTAAGACACCTAAAAAATTAGTTAGCATTTGTTGCCCTTAACACAGAGAAACTAAAGCAGAAACCTTAAAGCAACTGAGGCCAATAGGAAAAGGGGAACAGGTACTAGAGAAAAGGTTAGATCAAAAAGAATTAACCTAGAAGGTAACACCCATGCAGAGGAAATCAATGTAAGTCAATGCCCTGTATAGCTATCCTTATCTCAACCAGCAAAAACCCTTGTTCCTTCCTATTGTTGCTTATACTCTCTCTACAACAAAATTAGCAATAAGGGCAAAATAGTTTCTGCTGGGTATTGGGGGGGGAGAGGGAGGGGGCGGAGTGGGTGGTAAGGGAGGGGGTGGGGGCAGGGGGGAGAAATGAACCAAGCCTTGTATGCACATATGAATAATAAAAGAAAAATGAAAAAAAAAAAAGAAAGACAGCCATATCTGGATCTTGTCTCCTGCTGCAGCTCTGTTGCCAGCTCAGTTGCTGGCTCCAAAACCAATTCCAGAGAGTGACCCAGCTCGTCCCAAGGCTTGAGAGATTGAATAAGTTCAGTCAGATACTCTTGAGCAACAGCTAGATCCTTCAGCATCTGTACATGTGACCACAGAGAACAGATGGAATAAGGAGAAGCTTCATATCTTGGCATTCCCACCTGATTTGGTGGCAGAGCAGTTAACACAGATGGATGCTGTGAGTTTCTGGACAGGAAGGGTGGTGACACATGTCCTTCTGGCCCATTCTATCCACACTTGACATTCCCTGGCTTAGAGATGATGTTCCCATTTAAATCCCCATTCTAACCCTGGAAGTCCCATGATCAAGGCTACTTCCTAAACTCTTGAAAACTCATTTCCCTTTTGTACAATGGAGATGGGATCTCTCCAGTTACTGTGTAGGTTCATGCATAGGGCAGAGGTCTAGGCAGGCCCACAGAACACCATCTTCCATGATGGGAAAGAAACCTCAATACTCAGCACCTTATGTGTACTAGAGCTCATGGTAGTTGTCAGACAAGCCCCTGGTTATAACAAACATATGAGGAAAGGAGTCAGACAGCAGGTGTACTGGAGGAGGGCAGAGGTACTTCCTGGTTTTGCAGGTACAGGACATTTTCTAGAGTGTGGAGTGAATTTGGATATTGAAAATTCCCTTCATGTCCCCCAAAACCTTATATTTGGGTCACTCCTGTTCTGGGCATTATTGGTGGTCATGTAACAAGCACAGAGTCCCACAAGTCTTTATTCACATGCTTAGCATGCCAAGGTGTAGCCACTACACTGGCTTCAATCTTGGCCTGAAGGCTTGTTCTGTGTAGGACTGATTGGACCCTCTTCCCAGGAACTGTTCAAGAAGGTGGTGCCCTACCACTGCCTCAGGTCCATTTTGTCCCAGCGGGACAAGAAGGGCAATGAGCATCTCACTCCCACCATTCATGCCACCATCATCCAATTCAACAATGTGGCCACCTGTGTGATGACCACTTGCCTTGGTGATTGGAGTATGAAGGTCCCAGAGAGGGCCCAGGTGGTGGAACACTGGATTGAGGTTGCTGGAGTATGCTACAGAAAGTGCCCAGGGATAACCTGTTCACCTTTCCACCTCTCAGGGTATGGTTTGTGGTCTGAGACCCTGCTAGAAACCCAGGTGCCTACTTTTCAGTGCTACATAGCCTGGACACTCACAGTCTTGGCCAGGGTGCTCACTTCCTCTTGAAGCTCTATACTGGTTGTGAGCTCATGTCCTTTTCTAGTTACATGTGTGTCCCTATTGTGCCTCCAGAGCTCTCTAGCATTTATGTCCTTTAGAGGGTCTTATCAATGGCAGCTAAGGTGGTTTACCAGCTGCTTTATTTGTGTTTCACACTATCATTTTTCTAGGAATGTGGAGTTCTGAACAATTTCTCTTCCCTCTACACCATTCTCTCTGCTCTGCAGAACAATGCCATCTACTGCCTGAAAAGGACTTGAGAAGAGGTTTCCAGGTATGTGTGCCTCCCTCTGGAGAAGATTCTTGTGCACAGTAGGTGGCATTGCTCCGCAATTAGCCCAGCCTCAAGGACTGAAGTTCAGGGCCACTGGGTGGGGGGCACAATTTGGTGTTCATGGTACCTGATCAGTATGTATATGGAAGGACAAGTCTTCCTTGTCTGCCAGACACTGGTTGGATTCATGTGGCAGATTTTCATGTCTTCACATTTGGGGAACAGAACTGTGTCCAGATGATATTAAAACAGAGCCCCTCAGTAAATGGGGATATGACACCCATTGTGCTAGCACCAAGGTCCCCCTCCACAACCATCCATGCTTAATACTCAGTGGAGCTACTTTAAAACCTCTTCTCCAGTAGTTTGGCGTCAATATCCTGCAAGAATATGGTGTCACACTCTTACCACTCCCCACTCTTCCCACTGTCACCTTCTTTTTACCCTTCCTGCAGGGAAATCTTCCAGAAACTTAAGAAGGTGTCAAGAATTTTTTCTCCCGAAAAGAATCACTTCCTGAGCAGGAAGCTGCTCACCAAGGTAGGTGGAGAACCTGGCATAGACATGGGGATGCAGGAGATTAAATTAGTTTCTCAGGAAAAGTGGTCCTCATGGGGGCTTGAACACAGGTACTCATGATTGCTAGGCATCTGCTTTTCCACATCAACCACATCACCAGACATTTTTGTTTTCGTTATTATTGAGGTAATGTCTCACTTTATGCCCAGACCTGTGCAGCCTGTGATCTCCCTATTTGTGCTTCCCTGGGATGCTGGGATGACAGGCACATGCCACCAAGCTGAGACATTATTTGAGATGTGTCTTGAGAAGTAATTCCTAGGGCTGGTGTAGATCTTTGATCTTCCTGATGTCTGCCTCCTGTGTAGGTAGACTTACAAGCTTGATCCACCATCCTGGTCACTAATAGTGTTTAAAAGAGTCTAGTAATATCTGTTCAGAATGAAGAGAAGAGAATGTGTGTGTCAATTAGGTACATAGTAGGCAGTTTCAGACTAAGAAATTCCTGCTAATGGGATGCAGATTTTGTAGCATGAGTGTTCCAGGAGAGTGGTTGAGGTTCAGGAGTAAGGGATGTTTTGTCTTCTTCTGGGATTAGCACTAGCCACCTTTTGGATGGATGGAAGGGTATGTGACTGCCTTCCCTTAACAGCCCAACTTGGCCTCATGAATTTAGGCCACGGACACTCTTCATTGTGGGTATATAATGCAGGGACCTGGAGCTTCAGGGGTCCCAAGTGGTCAGTCAGCAGCATGAGCTGAAGCCAAATTTAGGTCCAAATGTCCAGACCCAGGATTCAAATCTGGATGAATCAAATGTACCCACATCTCCTCTAGAGAAAATGATGCTGATGGTCAGCCCACCTAAGAGGACCCATGGGAAGTTAGCATCCACCTGAGATGAACTCAGCATTGGATTTTTCTGACTTACTCCAGAAACTTTAATGAAAAAGAGGAAGCAAAGTGTTAATGCTGCGCACCCCTGGTCAACCAGAGATAGTTCCTGGGGTATTCTCAGACTTTAGGTGGAAAAAACAGAGTTTTATGCCAAGGGATATCCTGAGAGGGTCAGTGCAGTCTACAAGCATTTACCTCAACATTAGATCCCAAATGGGTGCAGAGACTTCATGGAATTGGGCAGGAAAATGTCAAGCCTTGTTGTACCTTTCACTTTGTGGCTCAGTTGAGCAAGTATCCTTGGAACAGATGAAGAGTCATACGATAGGACCATGGTTACTGTCCAGATGGAGGCTGGAAGCAACTGAAGGGCCCTGTGCACTTAACACTCCTCTCTAGCCCTCAGTTTCTGTATCAAGCAACTGGATCAATTTTGACTCTGAGAGCTTACATAAGGAGAGAAAAGGTGTTCCAAGCAGCCAAAGGAAGTTTCAGAAGTTCTGAGGAAGAGTTTGGCAAAGGCTGGAGTCAGAATAGCAGATAACAGGAGGACAGGAAGGAGATATTGAGAACTCCCAGACCCCATAAGGAAGATATATTCACATGTACACTTTGCATATAAGAAAACAGGAATAAGGAATGCTACATGACCATCAGGGATTCCCAAATAGAAGTGCTGGAATAGGGGCTTGGTGAAGAATTTTCATATCAGTGGAAAGAGAGTTGGAATCAGGTCAGGTCCTTAGATAGTCAAGGGCTGAAAGAAGACAGGATTCCCTAATTCCATTCTCAGTCTTCGCAGGGGAGAATATCCATATTTGCAACCATAGGGTGGAAGTCCAAGAGGACTGAGAGGCAGTTCAAGGAGATGGTAAGTGATTGTGTCTGAAGCCAGGGTGTCCCTGGGAACAAGTGGAGAGATGGGATCAACAGGCCTTTCTCATTTGTTGTTGGGCTTCCTGAAATGCCCTTCAGTACTGGTTCTGATCCCTGGTATATCTATGCCCTAACCAAGTGACATTGTGGAGGAAATACTGCCTCCTCCTGAAACAGCAGAGTCTGTAAGGACAATGGGTAAGGGCCACATACTTTTGAGATCTGCCAGAGACTAGTTTGGGTGTTTGAACTCCCAGATGTCTGAGGGAACATCTCACTTAAGAGAGTTGTCCAAAGATCTGCAGGTTACTCTTGAGTGGGAATCCCTGGAATGAATGGGGTCAGACTGAACATCATTTGTTGGAGGGGTGCTGGGACTTATTTATTACCCTCTTTGTGAAGTCTGTGTTTCATCCAGGGCACCATCCCCTACCTTGGCATCTTTCTCACTGACCTAGTGATGTTGGACAATGCCATGAAGGACTATCTTAATGTGAGTGAACCTGAGCCAGGGGCAGGGGAGCAGGTTTCAGGGAGAGACCTTTGGCTGACCCCTGCCCTCTAGCACTCCTGAGAGCCCCACCTCACTCAGTTTGTAAGCATCACACTCGTCCTACCTAATAATGCCAGAGAGCTGCCTGATAGCACATTTGCAGTTTGGTTGGTTTGGCAAGGCTCTTACATAGTAACTGAGCAGAATAGTGAAGCCAGCCCCGCCAAGTGGAGGCAGCTCATGGAAAAATCACGGCCTTCTCACCTGAAATTTCAGTCTCTCCTCTGTCCTTACTAAGTGTTGGGCAAAACAGTGCTCCAAATCTCTGCCCCTCTGTGTCCTTGCCATGGATTAAAAGAGGGGCCTGGTAGAGATATGGGTGCACCCTATCACCTGGTGGCCTTTCCTGGTAGTGCAGAGGAGTTTGTGGTCCTCAATTGTTGAGAGGCCACATTCTAAGCACACTGCTTCTTTGCTGTATAGGAGAGAATCATCAATGTTGAGAAGATGAGGAAGGTAAGTAGATGCTGCCCTAATCCATGGAGTGGGTGAGGAGTATCTAACTGGCTAGTCCACTGAACTCCTTGTCCACCTATTGATTTATGGTGATATTTGACACTGAGAGAAGGGGCTGCTCATAGGAAAGTGGGGAGTCTCAGGTGGATCAGGACAGCTTTGTGGAGTGGCTGCTCAAAGCAGGCTGTGAGAACAGGGAAGAAGGACTCTGGGTAGAATTGAGGGAAAGAGCCTTCCCAGAGCAAAGCTGTCCCAGCTGACACCTGCTCACAACTGTCACCATTTTGTACTTCCCCATGGCTCAGGAGTTCCATGTGATCAGCCAGATCAAGCAGCTGCAGGTTACTTGCCATAAGTACAATATTTCACCCAGGAGCACTTTGGGACATGGTTCCCGGGCATGGAGCATCTCAGTGAGACACAAAGGTGAGGTCAGCAAGACACTAATGGGTAACCAGAATGGGTTGTTCCTGGGGCTGGCTCACATGAGCATTTGTGATACAGCTTGGGTCAGTGTCACATTGTTGGCTGGTGAGGGCTGGGCAGTCAGGCTCTTGCTTCCAAGTTGGCACTGGGCAGGAGTCAGGATGTGGCTCTTTTTAGCCTCAGCATACTAGTCCATAGCTACAAGCTTTCATGTGATTTGAAGCTTCCATCCATATCAGCTAGCACTACCCACGAGACCAAGAACACAGCCACTGGGAGCAAGTAAGTAGCTGGGTGCAGGTGGGCATGGACAGATAAGGCTCCTTCTTGTAGGCTAGACAGGCTTGTGCTGGGATCCCATCCCACTTCCAAACACCCCTGTAAATGGGGTGAGTGCCTTCAGCTGCCTTGGCCTCACCTTATTCCTTAGTGAAATGTGTTGATCCCCCAGATGCCTGGGACAAAAGGGATACAGGGGACTTACAGAGCTACTAGCAATGTTCCATGAACACAGACTGTTGAGGGGATGCTAAGGGTAGAATATGTCTTTGTGGAGGGTCTTCACTTAAGCCAGCCTCTTTGTCTAGCTTCCAGGCCCCCAACACAGAGAGCAGTACCAAGCCCTGTGACCAGCTCAAGTGTGACAACAATTTCAGCAGTGGGGACATGGGTGACCAATTCTGCACAAGCTCAACTGGGTCCTCCAGCTTGGACATAGAGGGGATCTATGTGAGCTGTATACTGGAGTCTCCTGATGGCCAGGAAAAGGTGAACTCCCATTCTTTGACTCCTCTCCAAGGTGCCAGCCTTGTCCATTCAATGTCCACACAAGGGGACCAGAAGCCCCAGTTCCTGAAGACATCTTCTAGAATCCTTAGAGCTGGCTTCCAGGCTGGAGCACCCTGCAGGGTCTGGACAGCTGATGTTGCTGTCTCTCACAGCTCTGCAAGTCAGACTCTTGGTCATCCTCTGAGTCTTCCAGCATTAGCTCTACTTCAAGGAACCCCTCCTCAGTGCCAGCATCCAGCAAGACTGCAGCCACCACCAGCAGCAATAAGTTTCCTATCTCTGGGGTTTCCAACACCTGCTGCACAAAGCCCTTTTACAACCAGCAGGTGGGCAACTGCTGTATCATCCATGTGAGCCTGGAGGTCAACAATGGCAACTATAAGAGCATCCTGGTAAGTGGGGTCAGGAAGTAAACACAAGGTCATAAAAGGCAGTGGTCAGCACTCAAGGATTATCATTAGAGGATTGAGGGAGCAATGTACTGAAACCCCAGGCAGAGTGGGCCTGCAAGTTGAAGAACATGAGTTCAACATGAGTTGAAGAAACTGTGCTGAGAAGAGATGATGTGGGGAACAGTAGAAGACCAGGTATCACATTCTGGAGATTGACTTTCTCTTGGGGCAAGATGGAGCCCCTGTTGTTTGAGCATAAGTTAGCTGTAACATTTGGCATCTCCCTGGTAGGAGAGTGGTGTCTATGACTTCCTTGCCAATCCAGTCTTGGAAATGAGGAGCCACAACAGAATGGTGGCTGTGGAGGTGGCCAGTTGTCAGAATTTGTTTTGATTTGAGCCCTGTATTTAGAGCTGTGGTGACTGTGGAGTGTCTCTCCTGGACATTACCTTGGTATGCCACTGTTGCACCCTTGTCCTGATGAGTCGCCCCCTTCACTGATCCAGGTGACCAATCAAGATAAAGCTCCAGACATCATCCTCAAGACAATGGAGAAACACAATTTAGACATTGATGATCCAGAGGACTATGAGCTGGTACAGATAATCTCAAAAGATTGCAGTAAACTGAAGAATCACCCATCTGGGGAAATGGAAGAGGGTCAGAGATAGCACCATTCCCATTACAAAGTCCAAAACCCTGAGCTGATGATGTCAGTGCAGCAGGGTTAGCATGGGCATGGTGCCCACTATGAACTTTCTAGGAGCATCCTTAGTCATATCAGTCTCTTCACTACCTGAGCAGCTGAATAAATCCACGTCCATGCACTTTGATGTGAACAGTTAATGCAAAGCAAACATCATGGTAGGGTACCTCACTGCCCACTAGAACAGACACTTTCTGGCTAATAAGAGAAAACATGTTTATGAATGTAAGTGTCAAATGTTAAAATACATGTATGTAACATAGAATGTATATGCTGTTGGCTTCTGAGTTAGTGATCTAGAAAGCAGAAGAACCATAGAACTGTTAGCAGTTCTGACTCAGAGAACGTGGGGGGTTCCAAGTCACCTGTGACTGTGTCCCTGTCAGGAAAAGTAGGCCAGAGTATACAGCAGATTCCTCCTAGTGATAAAGAGAGAGAAAGAACATGGGATGTATGTGACCCACAAAGTCTGCTGTACACATTGTCATAGCTCTGCTTTTTTTCCTTTGAACTTCTATGTCCTGCCATTACCCAGAATTTCAGCACTGAACTTCTATGTCCTGCCATTACCCAGAATTTCAGCACTGAACTCTCCCTAGTTTTATCATAAATCTTCTTGTAGTTGCTTGCGTGGTTTTGGATAGGCGGGCGAGATGGGATTGTCCCCTGTGTTAGGAAAAAGAAAACTGAGGCCTAGGGAAAGCTAAAGACCTAGATAGGAGTCCTACCTACCATTGATTCACACCAGACCTTGAGCCCAGAAACTGTGTAGAGGCTTCTTTGGAGCTCAGATGGGGAGGTCTGATCAAGTGTTGCACTTTTCATGTCTTGTCCTAAGTAAGGCAACATTCAGGGAAGATGTCTTAGATTCTTGAAAGCTTGCTGTGGTCAGAGGCCCTCCCCAGAAAAAGCAACCACATGGGAGGATAGAAAGACCCTTTGTTAGCTGCAGGCTTAGATATGGGGCATGGTGGAATGAATCCACATATCTTTCTGAGCAAGAGTCATTAGGTGTTATGAGGCCTCAGCATATCCTTCTGAAGTCATGAGTCACAGGTATGAGATATAGGTGATTCTGGAGCTTCACTGGGGAATCTCAGTGATGTGGATCAGATGGTTACTAGAGAAGGCTCCAAGTGATAAGGGTGGCACATTCCACATGAGCGTCCCTGAATAAAACTCTCTCTCACACACACCGGAGATGAAGATTCCTGATAATTTTAATGTATATTATGCCATGAATTCATCTGCTAACTATGAGTTTGTCCTGAAGAAAAGAACACTCAACAGGTGGAGAGGGGGAAAGCATGGTGCCAGACCCACCTTGCCTTGGAGTAAGAGGAAAGGACTCCTATTTTCCAGAAGCATATTGTAAGGGTCTTTCCCAAGGGTCTGGATGGCTGTGGGCTAAGGCTGTTGCTAGGATAGAGTTGCTGAGGCCTGAAAGGTATCTTCCATTAATGTTACACAAATTCACATCCCCACGGCATCCTGAGCTGTGGGAATAAGTACTTGGAGGGAGGGGGAAGGAGAGTGAGTACTAGTAAGAAAAGGAAAATTATGCACTTGTTTGAATATGCCAATATTTATTTTTGGTTAATAGAATGTTAGATATGAATATTCATATTAAATGTTCTATTATTGCACAGGCATTGTGGTTTTGTTTTTTTCATTTCTTGTTCCAAAAAGAGGTGAAGATTTTCACATGTTGAAATAAAAAAAAAACTTGCAGATTTCTCTGTTTATTTTATGCAGAAGTAAGAATAGCCAGTCATCCTGGTCAGGTTGCTGAAGAAGCATATGTCCTTCTCGCACAGAGCAACTCTTCATTTCACTATTAAACTGAAATGACCCTCAGAATACCTGGGACTAGAGGTGGGATGTTCTGTAACAGAGCATAGAACAGCCTCTGAAAATTGAACCTCTTTTCCATAGCACCTATGCCATTTTAAATTCCTATCAACAGGACAGAAGGACTCCAATTTTTTTCATATGCTCACCAACATTGCTTTCTTTTTCTCTTACACTTCTTTTTTTTTAAATATAGCCACTCTAGTGGATAGGAGGAGATATCTCTGACTTAATGTACATGTCCCTAATGAGTAATGATGTGGAACTTCTAGTGTGCTTATTGTCCATCTGTATAGCTTTACTGGAGAAATGTAACTGTACATTTGTGACATTTACAGAAGTTCTTATAATGTATCATAGTTCAATTTATCCCCTGTATCATCCTCCTTTATTTTCCCCATTCCTGAAATAGTTTGAACAGGTCTCATTTTTCCATTTACATGCATGTGTACATAATGTTTCCACCATATTTACCTGCAACAACTTTTCCTTGTATCCTTCTCCCTCCAACTGGTACCAGACCCCCCATGTAAGACTTGTTTTGCCTTCTTGTTTTCTGTTTTTGAAAAATAAATGATTTTTTTTTGTTTAGGATAGCTGTACAAGGAGTTTCATTGTGTATTTCCATGTATATATGTATTATAACCCAAATTGTTTCATCCCCTCTCTTTTTCTCCTTTCTTCCTTAGTCGCCTTATAGTGACTTCAACAGAATTAACAATTCTACATTCATTTTTGAATAGGAATCACATCAACCATATTCATCTAAACTTCTTCCTCTCTTGTATGTGACCACCCCTTAGCATGACCTGTTTTTCATAATATTGCTTGTATTTGTATTGGATCAATATTCCACATATGAGAGAAAACATGCAGCCTTTAACTTTTTGAACCTCACTAACTTCACTTAAAATGATGTCCTTCAGTTCCATCTACTTACCTGCCAATAACAAAATTTCATTTTCTTTCTGGCTAAAAACCATTCCATTGTATATGAATACCACAGTTTTCTTAATCCATTCATGAGTAGTGGGGCATCTTAGCTATTTCCATATCTTAGCTACTGTGAATAATGTTGCAATAAACACAGGTGTGCAGGTGTCTTTAGAACCCTAGGAGTCCCTAGGAGTGATATTTTTGGATCATATGGCAGTTCTACTTTTAGGTTTTTGAGGAGCCTCCATATTTTTTCCATGGTGGTTGTACTAATTTACATTCCCACCAAAAGTAAATGAGGATTCATGAATAGTGATAATTTTCACAGCTGGTCTGTCACCTCTTACCACACACTTGTCTGTGGGAAGGAGGAGAGAAGCAGATAAAGGCAGAGAGATAAGTCAACCTGGAATCCAGAGCCAAAGCTTCAGCCAACCTCAGAAGAAGTTCTGGAATAACATTACCAGTCACACCCTTTCCAAATCAGACAACAATGCCTCAACCAGTTATTGCATACAGATCATTCCCAGAAGGACACAATTTTTGGTGACTTTGCTTTCTGTATCTGATTCAACCAACAGTCTTTACTTGTAGTGTGTTTTGTAATGTTTTTAAATGGATTTATTTATTTATTTATCCATTTGTAAAATGGAGATTGTACTCAATGTTTAGTGTTCTACCATCATCCAAGCCAGCAGGTACTAATGAACCAGTAGACTGAAGTTTAAAACGTTGTTGACAACATGAATATTCTGCTTGGCTGGAGACAGATTATTAATAGAGATGCAGATATAAAAATCACTGATTCTATTTTTACTTTCATAGTTTCATATCAGAGAGTTTCAGATGTGCTTATCTCATGAAGAGCTCAGGTTTAGCATCTCCATTCTTAGTATTTTCTCTATGATATTCCTTTCTTCAAAACAGGGAAAATAATGCATTTCTCATTGAATCACTGGGATGATTAAAAGGGCAATGATGATAATGATGGTACTAAGAAAAGCTCACATGAATTAAGTGATATACAATGCATTCTGATCTCCCCATACTTCTCCATTTCACCATACATTTCAGCATACTGTATTATCCCTTGCTTGCCAGTAAGAAAACTGGGATTTACAAAGATGAAGTGAGGCTGCTCTCCAGGATACACTTCAGTACAGGTAGCCATGGGTTGTAGGAATTTCAGCACTGTGCTGTCTTCCAGGGTGTGAGTTATTCTCATTCTTACTCCATTGCTACTGTATTGTGAACTCTATACCTTAAGGTCTACAATTCATTATAACTGAAGTATTACTCTTTCTTTTATTTGATATGAATGCTTTGCTACTCAGGGATTTTACTTACTTTTATGTTTGTTCTGTATTTTGTATATATTTTTTAATTTCTTATATTCTACTTTAAAACTTAGATATGTCCATTCTTTCACATTCTTAGAAAAGAGTTCACTTTTCCAAATCAAAATGCACAAATTTTTTCAAATACAATACAGTGAGCATGTGCTATTACTTTAATTTATAATGTCTACTTTTTAAGGTAATAAACCCAAGGAGAAAGGAAATAATGAGATATCTGTTATTAGTGTCTATCTCATTGATCTACACATTCCATAGTTCTGGTTCACTTATATATTGATTAAATTATTATTCTTTTATAAAGTTGTAATATCTGGTTGGGTTGATATTGTTTACTGACTCATAATATTTCAAAGAGAAATATATGAATATAGTAGATATATTAATAATGATACATTCATACACACACATAATTATATTTAGATATTTATACACACACATATATAATAACCTTATTCTTTCTTTTTATCCTAATGGTTTAATGGTTGATTCCAAACTAAGAAGTGATGGGGTTCCTACACACACACATGTGTGTATGGGTGTGTGTGTGTGTATCCATATATATGTTTATGTATTTAATTAGTATTTTTTATTTAATACTTGAAGTATTTAAGCTTGAAGTCCTTTTTAAAATAATCACTGCAACTTTGCTTCTACAAACACTGTGCATCTCTCACAAATTACATTTGTTTGTATTTATTTTATTAGTGTTGTCCTTTTTCCATATGTCTTCTAATTAAATATAACCAGAAGCATTCTGGTATTTCAGAACCCATTTGTATTTCAGCCATCATAATATTATTTGTAATGTCCAGACATTCCTTCCAGGTCTTGGGCTGTTTTTTTTTCCTCTTAATACTCATTTATTTTTTTATGGAGCTAATAAAGTAGGGCATATTTACTGGGGTCTGGTTCTTAGAGAAAAATAACATCTCTCACAAATTTTATCACATTGGAGGTTGAGTTTTCAAAGTACAAGTTTTGAAAGAACACAATCTAGTCCAGTGTGATGTAGAAATATAAAATATAAATTAATACTATTTCTCAATATATTTTTAATTCTATAATTCATGACATTTTTCACTACCATTATAAGAGAGCCTGACAACTGGTATTTAATGTTTTTATAATAAAAACAGATTATATGAATAAATTTCATGCTTGTTTAAAAAGGATATTACACTATCTGTGACAATATTATTTTGAAGACTATTTTATTCTTCATATGTGTATCTAGTATTATGTATGCATCAACTCAGCATATATTTAAAGAGTGGGCATTTGCTATATGACAGGCATTGATTCAACATACAGAGCATTGTCTAGCATCATGATCTCTGATATTCTTAAAACATCAAAATTTTAGATTGCATACTAGGTTTAGAATGACTTAGGATAAAGGAATAAAAATGTGTAGTGTGAGAAAAGTTTTTACACAGTATTTTACAGAAAGTTGTCCTGATGAACACTAATACATATTACTTGGAAGTTTGACCAAATGCATTTAGAGAAAACAAAGTCTAATGAGTTGAACAAACAACTTCAGTACAAATTTCCTCATTCTCCAATATGTTCTTTTATTGTGATTCTAAGTCTTTAGCAACACAATAAAGTGCCGTTTTTTAAATAAAACAATTAGCCATAAATCCTGACTGGAAAAGTGTGCTTTTTACCATTTACTTATATTAAGGTAGTGATAATGAATGAACACTATATCACTTATTATTCATGGATAATTGACCTTTAAAGTACTTTGAATAAACTCATTAACTATTCTCCATAAAATAACAGTGACAAAAAGACATTATATATATAGTCTGTTTGTGTACATATTGGAGTAAGTTCATATATATGTTCATATTTATATATGAATCCTAAGGTACAACAAAGGAGTATAAGAAGCCTGTACTTACTCATAGCATGGGTGGAAGTCCAAAATCATAATAAGGCAATTGTTCTAAGTGCAGAACACTGTAGGAAAAAACCCCACAAGTTTAATGTAAGGTAAAGTGGTTGGTGGGGTAGTATATTGACAGATATTTGTCAGGCAAAGACAAACGTGAAAAATTTCTTAGCAAAATTGCATGTGTAAAAAATGGCTGGCCCTGAATAACTCACTGTTTAGAGACAGGAATCAAGAGATGTATG